GCAGAGCCTTGAAAAATAGCGCCTGGAGTAAACTGCAAACTGGGACTAGAACCGTGTGAAATAGGTCGACCCAAAAGATAAGAAACGGATCTACGGTTCCATGAAGGAAATCCGGATAGGAGGCCCGAGTTAGATAAGCCGATCGAAAGAGGAAGCAAGGTGAACAGCAGGTGTGAGGCCACACTAAGCTTGCCAAAAAGGATACACGTTTTCACGAATGGAATGCGAACAAATCATATTGTGGTAGAGTGGAAGTGGGATAGGAGAGTAAGTAGATAGATGTTTCGTGGCAGAAAGAGAAGTGATGGCACAACCGTTTGGACAGAAAGTTTGGTCAAGTGTTTAACTTGTCTCTTTTGACGAATTGTAGCTTGGTGTAAAGAATGGCAAGACTCACTGATGATGTTGACTACGATGCAGGCGAATCGTCTGAAAATGTTCTAAGTCCTAGGTCTAAGGCTGGGAATTATGATAACTACTGTCAGTTGACTTCGGATGAGGCGTGTCCAACTATGTCGCTTTGACAATAAGACCAAGTTGCGCCAGCGAGGTCAACCAACTATACATCTAATTGGGACTGCAGCCATACCAGGTGCACACCATCTTGGTCTCAATATCTTCGAACCCTATTTTGAGATAAACCTATAAGTTGAATTACCCTGGTTACAGTATATATGATTTTCACTTCGAAGAATCAGGTTGTTTATAGCCAAAGCGACCAGGAGGGGAAAAGTAGTGAATCCAGAATGTATAGGGTGTATTTCGGGGTAGCAAATAGTTTGAAAAAAAGCACAATATGATCACTGTCTTTGTGATAGTTCAAGTGTGATTAAAGATATACTAAGGGGCTAAAACTAGGAATATTATCAAATTTAACCAAACGGCGTGAAGAAACATTACCTAATGGATTAGTAGATAAATCATGAAACATATTAAGCAAATAATAAATGAAAAATAAAGATAAGCAATACCAAGTACCCCATCATAAAAATTGACACGGCCAGATTTTCAGTGGTATGGACCCTCAAGTAATCATCTTAGGAAAACAAAATGCAATGATCTTGATGCTGAAGCAAATATTTTTTGTCTAGGCATTCTGATTATGAGCAAACCAAAGCATATAGTGCAATCAAAAAGTTAGTATATTAAGAAGCTACATGTATTGCCACCAGCGAATAATTTTTTAAATATGTTATGGTGCACGAAAAAGTGCTATTTTACCATGAAATAAGAAAAAAAACGTAAAAATATCTAGAATATCAACCTCACAGTGATAACTAAGAAAATGTTAGAAGGTTGAAACCAACCTGTTTCCCCAACCATATGTCCATCTTCGTGAAAAGAAGCGGTATTATCCGCCGACAACAGTCGCCCAGAAGGTCTTGCAGCTCGCTGTCGCCTCTCACGGGCAGATGTATGTGGCGTTAATTGAGCAGGAGAGGGTGATACTCCAGAACACGAAACAACACTTGGTGAGCCAACGGAATAACTAGATTGAGACACGGAAGACTGGGGTGGCAAAACTGTGTGTTGTTGACGAGAGCCTCTGAGACTAGGAGTTAAGGGCAATGGAGAATGCCCAAGCGATTGCTTAGAATCCATGAGTAAATGTGCATCAGTTATATTATTCATTGCGTTAGTGACATCCAGACTGTTTGGGACAATATGTGTCAAGTCGAGGTTGGCTTCCGATCTACAGAAAAGAAGGATCCAAGATTAAAAATAATAATGCAAATGTAAATTTCAATAAAGAATGTACCTTCTTTTTTCTCTGCACTGATCTATGATAGCTTGATCAAAGTTATTACTTGGCCACTTATTACCACGAAATAGATCACCTAGATACAAAAATTAGAAAAAAAGGAAAGTAAAAAAAAAATACTCGGCACTGATGAACAGCACAAAAATCACCTTGAAAGCAATTTTCTTGG